TTTCACGAAACTATTGAGCGCCACGGATCATCAACTATCGGATTTCGACCAGTTTTGATCCGAAATTCACAATCCGTGATTCGCAAATCATCAAAATATTGGTGATTCATGATCAGTGCGGATCAGATCCGAGCGCAATTCACGAAACTTTTGAGCGGTTTTGAATCACTATCACACGCCGATCGGATCACCTTGGTGAAAACGGCCTCAAGTTTACAATAAAAGCAGATCAGGCAAAAGGATTTGCAATGACATGACCTAACCTTAAAGAAATGCCTTTGGAAAAACACTAAATCAAATTTGCAATCAAACCTGTGCAAAGAAACGAATGTGATTGCTCGATCGTTTTGTATGTTGTTAAGGGTTTCTTCTGAAATGGCTGGTTGATCATTGAGCTCTTGAGTCAGTTTAAATCACAAGTGTTTAAAAATAAGCTAATTTTTCTAATTCCTGGTCAGACAGACTCAAAACGAACAGCCAAATTCATGATGGCAAGCCGCGCGAAAATGATCAAATTGATGGTGAAAGTGGTGGCATTGACACATAGCATGGAGCAAGGAAAGCATATGTTTCGGCGAATCTCCCGCATTCTGTGTCCGGATAGCCCCAAGCCAAGTGAATGTAATCAAAGAAATAGATCAATCTTGAGCTGAAACTTGGATTTTTTTTGGAAAAATCATTTTCTTCATCACTCACTAAACAATTCGGGCATAATCGAGTAAGTAGCTAGGAAAAAGAGTGATCGTTATCAAATCTAAAGTACTTGAAAGTTGTACTTGAAAGACTTAAATGACTTACCAAAGTAAAGCGCTTATCGAAAATTCGATCGTAATGAAATGGAAAGAAAATGGCGACGAAACGATTCGATGCAACAATCGGCTCCAACATCACGATTGACATGTAAGACCCAACAGGCGAGTAACTCGAAGATTCGATTCCAAACACTTGAATGCACTTCTTTCAGTGCACTGAATCAAATATTTTTCATTAATATGTATATGTCGTAGCGATTAGAAATGAAAATTTTTTTTGGCAAACCTTTCTAGTAGAGTAACCCTTTAATGTATGAGGACTTATATAATTTCGTAGGGAATTAAATTCTACGTCGACTGGTACAAAATTTGTGAGTTTAAGTTAAAATTGCGGGCGCTACAACGTTTTATTCAAAATTGACGGTACCTCCGTAGCCGATTATGAATTTCAGCCGATTATTTATTTCAGCCGAATACCGTATTTTCTCTAATAGTAGTGCACCCTAAGTGTCGCCTAAATTGCTCAAAATCTCGAGAAACGCTTATCAGAACCTATCGATGTGGGGTCGAAAAATGTAGCTGACGATGAGATCTTGTGGGAGGTTAGAGTATTGAGCTTCTGCAAAAGCTTGGAAACCGTAAAAGAGTCACCAACTCGGCTCACCTATCTAGTTTTAACAAAACTTAACTATACTTAATGTAGAATACGAATTTTAGCTGTAAAAAGACTTTAGAAAATTTTGATAGTAGATAGATTTATCAGTAGCTTCCGTTTCATAATCAGAGATGATTTCTAGCTACTGTATACGTTTTATTTTTTTGCTATTGATAGTTTACTATTGTATTAGTCTCATTAATCAATTATATGCTAAAAGAAGACAATTTAAAACTCACAATACAATCACCGGCATCACATAAACGAGAAAAGTAACCAAAGCGAGGAGATTGCTCACGATTCGAGCTCTTATAAAGCAAGTGATCAATTGCGGAATCATGATGGTAATACCATAAATTCCAAAAATTAACGATCACCCCAAGAAAAGCAATCTGAAAAATCAATTTGATTAACGATTTTTAAAGAAATCAACCAAAAAAACGGAGACCAGCCGCGATGAAATCGTCAAAGCGATCGATTTTCGGTGGAATTCCTCCCACTTCATTACTTCGTAAAACATCCATCAGAAATGAAGTAATAAAAGAGTTTTCTTGAATTTATTCCATTAAATAATCTTTGACTTATCCCATCATTCGACCGAAATAAACGAAAATACAAAAGTAATTGAAAGAAGGGGAAAAACAAAGACCCGAAAATCCGATTATTGCAAAAAACCTTGCAAACTCTAGTTTAATGATTTTTTTAAGAACAGAGTATTTTTGAGAAAAAAGATTAAAGATAAAAAAGAAACTTTTGAAAACTTTCAAACTACTGCAAAGCTTCAATGTTTTTGGCTAACTGCAGATGAATTGTAGACTGTAGACTGACTTTGAGCTCTTCTAGCAAGAGTTAACAAAGTTCTTGTAAAGTTAGAGTGTACTTTACAAGAACTTTGTTAGCTGATTCTAAATGCTTTTACTCTAAAAAATACTGTAATCTAATGCTACTTACTGTATTTAAAGTTTTCATAGTAGTTTTCCAATCCTTTTTTTTGACGTTGTGCTCTTTTTTGTCTTTGATCGAACTTGGGACTCATTTGTGCTTAAGGCTTTCAATACAATTCAATTTTGATTTTGATTAATACAGATTGCTATAAAATTTTTTGGATTTAAAATTTTTAGCAAGCTGGCTCAATCCGTTTTCAATATATAAAACTCTATAACAAAAGAAAGGGTTGATTAGGGATTGTGAGAAAATGTGGTAAATTCACGACCCTAATTTTTGTTATAAAAAACGTCAGGATTGGCTTTAATCCATGACTTCTTCTTGCTTTCAAAGATTCCACCAGGTAATTTTTATTGTATTTCATCTGGTTTAACGAAATTTTCCACGGTCCTCTTTGCTGTGTTTTCCCGTCGCTGTACTCGCTGACAGGTAAACTTTACTAAAGTATTGCTACAGTGCTCATCTTTCTGTACACCCTATGACCCGTATTCACCTGATTCTGGATCCGATTCTTCATCCTAGCCCCATCGACTTTCGTCTCTTCGCATGCCGTCCCTTTTCCACCAGCTCTTGTCCCTTCATATTCTGTCCATTCACTAGATTGATCAAAAATTTCGTTTTTTGCAACATTAAATTCTGAGTTGTTTGTAGCAACTGGAGCAGTGGTAGCAACTGGAGCAGTGGTAGCAACTGGAGCAGTGGTAGCAACTGGAGCAGGGTAGCAACTGGAGCAGTGGTAGCAACTGGAGCAGTGGTAGCAACTGGAGCAGTGGTAGCAACTGGAGCAGTGGTAGCAACTGGAGCAGTGGTAGCAACTGGAGCAGTGGTAGCAACTGGAGCAGTGGTAGCAACTGGGACCACATGGACCAGTTGAACAAGTTGGTAATGGTAACTCATATGGATCGTACCCCGTTCCATCTATTATCCACCTGGTCCAGCTTATAGAAAATAAAGAGCTTTGAAGAGATGATGAATTCAAGTGCACACAAAAAAGCTAGGGAAAGTTCTTATCTTTTTTTCTTCAAAAACCATAAAACTTTCACACTCTCCAGCTCATCATTTTCACTCACTCGTGAAAATCCTAAAACAAACATATCACATTTTTCCCAGACATTCTCAAAATTTTTTTTGCGAACAGCTGTTGTTTTTCTTTCTTTTTCTGTGTCGATAAGCGAAAATCAACAAAATCTCGTGGGTGATTTTTCTTGCGAAATTTCTCCCCTTTCCACCATCGAATCAACAAATCTCTCTGAGGATTTCCCCCATAAATCCCCATGCAATCCATTTCTTAAAAGCTCAAAACTGTTATTTTTTTGTGAAATTCGATCTGCTAACTCAGCAATAATCCTATTACAATGAAAGTTTTCGTTCGCTCAATTGTCCGCATTGTAATTTGCCATGTAAGTTTTTTCGACAATCAAGAAGTTTTTGCTAATCAAAATTTCTGAAGTTTTAGAACGGATTTAATGAAGAAATTAGATTAAAACTGAATCAAATTCAGTAAAAACACGTTATCACTCAAAGATTAATTTTGATCAGACTTAAACTACTGTAACTAAGGGACTCTATGAGACTATTAGGCACTTCAAAGCGAGTCCCAGCTACCGCAACCGCACTTTTACAATAACTCAAGTACCTTGCTAAAGTAATACAACCTATTTATTTAGATCTAGAAACGCAATACATAGCTATAATGGAAAAGCCATGATGTCAAGAATTAAGTTACGGTAGCTGGGAACCTCCTAGAGAGCCTGCCCGGCCCAAGTCGACGGCTCAAAAAATTTACCATTGATCAGCGTGGTGCCTGGAGTCACTCAACAAAAATCCTTTCAAAATATTTTCGATAAATTCGATAAATTAAGTTCTCCCTCACACCGATGATCCTCGTTCCCCTCGTCAACTTTTTTGTGATGTCGTCCTTGCAGTAATGCTTTCTAAAGGAGAGATCCCTCGACAATCCAAGCAATCTCATCAATGCACTTTCACGAATTGTCTATCGAATCAATTAATTTTACCGCCTATTTCCCTAAATGGCTTCGAGTGCTTATTTGAATCTGACGATAATTCATTTCAGAGCTTCTCATCAACGAATCACTTAAGCTTTCCGCTGAAAATCAAGGCTACATTCTTGTCAAACCACTTCATTTGCCCGAATGTCCGATTTGTCAAGAGGAATGTGAGGATTGAAAGTTTAAATGAAAAGCTAAAAAATGATTAGAATATCTTATGATTTCGAAAACTCTGTTCGTTTTCTTTAAAATGAGCTCAGCGGTTTACCAATTTAGCGGAATGCGTAAAAGAATTTTACGAAAAAAAAGAAAAAAAGAAGAAAGTATGCGAAAAAGGAATCGTTTACTTCATAAGAAAGTATGCGAAAAAGGATTCATTTACACAAATTTCACTTTCTCATGTCAAAATCAGTTGCCCATTTTGGAAATTTTTGCATTACTTACAGCTGGTAATATAGATTTCCAAAAACTTGTTTCTTTCTGTAAAAAAGGGATGAATTTTTGAAAGTTTCAGACTCAATCGATACCGAACCTTTCCAACCTTTCCGTCTTCGTTGCAATCATCTCATTTGCAATGCATGTTTTGAAATCATTCGTAAAAGTTCCGCGGAAAGCTCGGATCAATTCAAGTTCAAAGTTATGTGTCCGATTTGTCAATCTGTATGTCTTCGATCGAAAGAATGCGTGAAAAAGAACAATGCTTTAAAAAGTAAACTTTCTTAAGGTTTACCACTAAAAAATCTCCTAGATTTCCAGATTTTCTCCGAGAACTTCCGGAAATGCTCAAACAAATTGAGGATTTAGAAAAAGAAGGGGTTTATTTGAAAATTTGATTTCTTTTAAACGCACTTTAGAAAGCAAATGATTCAAAAGATTGCTGTGAGAATTGCAAGAAGAGTGTTTGTCTTAAAAAATAAAACATTACCTTTAAAATTAGACTTTAGTTCTCATTCTCGCAAATGTTCAGCTGTTTCGATTGTAATGAAAAGGTTGGAGAAATTTTAATCTGTTATCATAGCTCAAAAAGATCAAAGTTCCGTTATTAATTGTAAAAAGAAAATAATCGCTATATTTGCTCAAGAAATTTGCAAGCTCAAGCTCGGCTTTTTCAGATTTGCGGTGCTTGCGCTTTTCGAAAACATCGCTCGCACACGGTTGTCGATTTGATTGTTAAGGAGGTAAACCAATTTCTGATTTGAGTTGTGCTAAGCTGTAGGATAGCTTTTTTTACTTAAACCTAGAGTCAGGCCTTCTAGGGACTCAATAAAGCACAGAGCGTCTGTCTCTCAATCCGAGGATGCGGGGTTCGACCCCGCCTGCAGCCATTTTTTTTGGCGAACAGCCCCTTAATTCCCAACTCTACTAGTCCAGAAGTTCGGAAAAGACAGTACTTATAGTTAGAAGTACGACCAACTAGTCTAGTCTGTTTAGAATAGCACCAACAGAAGCAAACACACTGCTCCAACTACTTAACAGCTCAACTACCTCCAGCTCCACTTACGTTTTTAAAACTCAGTCGCAACTTTTAAGAGAAATCAATGAAATTCAGCTTTAGCTAGTAGAAAATCTTTGTACTAAACTTTACTGTACATTTTCATTTAGAAGTTGCTTAACGTCGTGGCAAGTCGAGCAATTTCCCGATTACTCTTTCCAGCGTGTTTACATACTTTGATCTGTTCTTTCTCGAAGTTCGAGAGCTTTGCGATGAATCACTTTGCGATTTCTGGAGGTGTTGACTGTTCTTTTTCTGCCCCTTCCTGGACGATCTCCATCGTTGCCAAGCTCCTTGTATCGCTTAATCGCTTAATCGCTCATTTAGAAGTTGCTAACCGTCGTGGCGCTTTATCTGCAAAAGTAAAAAAATGGCATTTCAACACTCCAACTAATTATAGAGCCACTTTGATTTTTGTTTGTAGTTGTTTTTTTTGTTTTCCATTTACAGTCGACTCTCTCTATAAATGGAATGGAAGGAACCAAAAAATTTTTTCGTTATATAGAGCTTTCCATTATATAGAGTGCCGTTATACAGGGTGCCCAGAAATAACGTTGTGGGATTTTCGGCAGCCTAAAATCCTCAAAGTTTCAATTTTGGGAGACAAATTTATTTTTAACCTATTCTCTGTGACTGTTTTTATTAGTTTCTTTGTTGTTTTACTTTGTTTCAAGTCTATTCATTTTTTTATAGGATGACAAACAAGGGATCTGCCATTCTGGAGCTTCATCGTCAAGGTCAATGCGCGAGTGCGATCGCGCGATTGCTACGTGTTTCTCATCAGCTCGTCTCAAAAGCGATTAAGCGATACAAGGAGCTTGGCAACGATGGAGATCGTCCAGGAAGGGGCAGAAAAAAAAACAGTCAACACCTCCAGAAATCGCAAAGTGATTGATCGCAAAGCTCTCGAACTTCGAGAAAGAACAGATCAAAGTATATAAACACGCTGGAAAGAGTAATCGGGAAATTGCTCGACTTGCCACGACAGTTAGCAACTTCTAAATGAAAATTTACAGAAAGGCTTAGTACAAAGATTTTCTACTAGCTAAAGCTGAATTGCATTGATTTCTCTTAAAAGTTGCGACTGAGTTTTAAAAAAAAACTTAAGTGGCTCTATAATTAGTTGAAGCAGTGTAATCCAATCAGAGCAAATCGAGCTAGTCAGCTAGAAAACGTCGTGAAGCCTTGAAACTCTCTATAGAAGCAATTCAGATTGATAAGATCATTGATGAAACGAGCAAATCGGTGTCAAGCCAAATAAGTTGTTACAAAGAAATCTTCCCACAATTACATCAAGATCTCCTCGATAATATCTCCATGTTTGAAAAGGTGAGGTAAAAGGGTGAAAGATTTTTATTCTAACAAAATAATCACAAAAAAATTTCAGAGTCTTTTATCAAAAATCTCGAATATTAAGAGGGAAAACATTGAGCGCGCTAGAAAAGAAAGTTTCGATTGTCGGTCCGGTTAGACATTCATTTCTATTGGATTTTCAAATTTTAGTAAACTTGGTGACGATTTTGAGCTGATCTCCGAGAAATATCTACCAACTTTACGGGAAATTAACTCAAATTTACTGGTAAAACAATGATAGAGATTTTAAGGATCAAAAATTAGTTCTCAGGATCTTCTCAATGATCCAAATTTGGGTTTCGTTCAAGTGTCAATCTTTCATGACTCAACTGATCCAAAAATTGAGGTAATGCTTTAAATCGCTAGTAGATATTTTGGAGTTAAAAATGGAGAAGCTATCTTTGAACTAAAAGCTATTTAAAATGCAAATTGCATCTATTCAATGCAAATGCTCAGGTACATCTATTGGGTTGGTGAATTGAAAACTGCCGGCTATTGTCACATGTGACAGTTTGAGCACTTTCTTCAAAGAAATCCATTTTGGTGTCAATGGGAAAAGTTGTAGAGAATCAAAAATCAAGCTTATATCCAAATTTTCAGAACGATTCAAAAACTGGTTTTCAAGAAATGCCAAATTTACGAGTTTTCACAAAACTTGCATTTTAAGCGAAACTACTAAGTGTATCTTTTAGAAATTTGGCTATAAGCCTAATTTTTGATTCTCTACAACTTTTCTACTGACACCAAAATGGGTTTCTTTTTGAAGAAAGTGCTCAGACTGGGCTGACAGCTGACATCTCCTCCATTTTTTGAGTCCCACACTGTCTCACACACAAACCAAAATCCTACTACGAAAGAGGAATCCGCAAATTGCATGTAAAATGGGCAGAAGTCGTCAATAATAATGGAAATTATTTGGAATGAATTCATGGTTTTATGCTGAATAAATTTTAGTTCAAAGTCCCGCAGTTTTCAATTCACCAACCCAATAGCTGAATTGATTTATAACTGCATTCAGCTTTACATAAAGTTAAAGTTGATATCTGAAACTGTTTTTAAAGAGTAATAAATGCTCATAGCATTGCATTTTACCTAAATTTTAAATTCCAACTCTTTAGGAAAAGAGAATGATCGAAGAGGTGGAAGAAGAAAGCGAAAAAACGATGACAGATCAAGCACTCCAAGCTCCACCACGATCCACTCGACTCAAAATAAAAAAGTGTTCTTTTTTTGATTCATTGAAACAATACTCATAACGTTTTATCAAATTTAATAAAAATTTCAAAATCATTATCAAATTGGTTGAAGCTTTGCTGGTCGGCGTTCATTCGGTGTCTCATCAACGGAACTCATTGAAATTCGTGAGAAAGTTTTTTTCCTATAAAAATATTGCTTCAAATTAGTGTTAAATTCTCAAAAATCTCACCAATTTCTGAGTACGGCTTTCCGGTAGTCACGAATAAAATACGTCATCGAAATCGCATCCAAAAGAGGAAACATCGAGACGGTGATGAAGAAATAATTGCACCTAAACCCGAAATTTCTATTTTAAAACATTATGATAAGCCTACAACCTTGTCATTATTGTTTTTGTCCCTTTAAACCAACCAGTAACCTATGTAGATCGCGTTGAGAGCACAGAAATGAGCGACTAAACATGGGACGACTTCCATCACAAAGGGACAAGCAGTCTATAAAGGAAACTTATGATCGGACAGTGAACTCGGATAAAATATAAATGTGAAAATGCTGCAAATAAATTTAATGCTTTACATCCTCAGTTCCAGTCCGGAATAGTAAAGGCAATTTGGCTCTTGCGTAGTTTCCGGGTATTTTGAAAAAATCCGATTATTTTGAACGGGTCGTCATGCTTTGAAGGTCTATAATTTCGTCCAGAGATAATATTATAGTCAACTTTTTTTATATCATTGTACAGAGGAAATTCCAGGCTTTCAAATGCTACAAAATAGAGCTTGATTGGATCATCGAGTCCAAGGAAATCAGAACCAACTCTGAACAAATGAGGTCTTTCCAACTCGGGTGTTTTGTCGCCTGGTTTGTATGGGAAAAAGAAAAATTCAGTCAAGCTCTATTTTGTAGCATTTGAAAGCCTGGAATTTCTCTGTACAATGATATAAAAGTTGACTATAATATTATTTCTGGACAAAGTTATAGACCTTCAAAGCATGACGACCCGTTCAAAATAATCGGATTTTTTCTAAAATACCCGGAAACTACGCAAGAGACGGCAATTTTTGTAAGATTGGACTAGAAAGAAAACTAGCCTGGCTTACTGCAGACCAGGATCTTTTTGTCCTGCTCTTACCTACTGGTTCGGATATTTGGTCCAATGTTGGCCTGGCTATCCAATATTGGCTGCTCTCCGCCCACCGACTCAAAGTCTTTTTTGTCTCGTTTAGAGGATTTCCAAAAATTGCTTTGAGAGGCGGTTATATCCGGAATTCTATAAGCATTTAGACGAGTTCATTGAGCTCATTACTTCTAATCTTTGCTTAAAAACTAGCCCATCACACCCTTCTCAAGTTAGACTACCGGTTTTCCGTTTGATTGATGGTTTAATCCCTCATTTGATGGTTGAATTAGTTGTCCTTTCTGCTATTGACTGATGTCAGATGTTGAGTGCTTACGTTTTGATTCAAAACAACACTCACAAGAACAATTAAGTGGTAGACTACATAAAGCATTAATAGATTCATTAGTGTAAAAATCTCGAAGTACGGTAGCTTTTAGAAACTTCTACCTGTGCAATCAAGGCTTGCAAAAGATCCCGTTGCATCTGTTTCGCTCGATGACTCAACAGACTTGACTTTAAAGCTTTGTGAATTTTGATAGTAAACCAAACCTGAAACTGTTTTATAGGAATATTACTTGATTTATTATAAGACTGACTCATGAATAGATTTTTAATAACTTACCATCACGAAAAACTTGTAGACGACAAGACTCATCACAACTGTCGTCGAGAGTAACTGATATGGCGCGTATTTCCATGCTCCGCTCGACGTGTTATACTGAATGAGCACTGTTTTCTGTTGCCTTTCAATTCAAACCTTGAACAATGGTCCCAAAAGCGATGCTTTCTCCGAATCGATTCCATAAAGATTGTGAAATTCTTCTTTCAGGTACCACTGAAATTGGTGAAAAGTTAGAAAAGGCTAAGTACTCTTGGGAATAACTTATAGATTTGACTATAGATTTGACTATAGATTTGACTTGTAGTCTTGACTTGTGTAGTCTTGGCTTGACTTGTAGACACCAACTTGTTTTTTGTTGTTTTTTGTGACGCCAACAACAACCCTGTTCAACAACAACGACCCTGTTTTTACCCTGTTCGCTCTCAATGCCCACGATTGACTCTCGAAGAACCAAGTCCACAGTGAGAGATCAATCAAAATATAAAGAAATAGAAGTGATTGAATCGATTGTCGCTTGAAAAGTGGCATCAAATGAAAGCTAAAAGTGCAAAAATGGACTTTCATATGCTTTTAACTCACCGACACACAACGATGTAACGATAGAGAAAATGAAAAACGATTAGAATAAGCTGTTTATTGTACAGAATAGACCAGTACAAAAGCATGAGCTGAAATTTAAATGATTTTTTTGCAGCTATGCTTCCATACTTGTCCAAAGGATTGACTGATATATTTATCCAATGGACTAGCGATGTAAAAGGTAAAAAGAATAACCGAAAACGTGACAACCCTGAAAGAATTGAATTGATGATATGCAAATTTAGATCACTACCGGCATCAGAATGAGAGTAAAAGCGGGTAGATGATGTTGAAAGAAGAAAAAGTCATCATCAGATATTTGTAGCGACCGAACTCTGGGCGACTGAAACAAAAAAAAATCCGTTTATTATACTAGCTTCAAAACATTTCTCAGATTCTTTCAAACTACGCAAGAGCCGGCATTTTTTCTAGGATTGGACTAGAAAGAAAAACTATCCTGGCTTTACTGCAGAAAACTACTGCAGAAAAGGATCTTTTCAATATCAAGTGATGGTAATTTGTTCACCTATATCTGGCAATCAAATAAATCAATCCGAAATTCGCAAAAATCGATGTAGAACCGAAGGCAAACACCACATAATGACTGAAATTCATGTGGCCCAGCATTTGTTTTGAATAAGGGAAAAAAATGAATTTGTGAATCGTAAGAATAAAGTCGTAAGGCTAGTTCGAACAAAATGGATAACTAAAACAGAAATGAACTAATTTGTCGAGAAGAAAAAATTAATGGTCTCTAGGGTATTTCTTATGCGTAAATCATTGAACAAAAGATGGTTTACCAGACATTTTATAATTCGAAGAGTTCGCTTCGCATATAGTTTTCCAAAGAAAATCAGAGTCAAATGAAGACGAATTTTGATTTTTATGAAAATTTTGTATATTACACCAAGGCAGATCTTTTGTTTGATAGAAATCGGAGTCTATTTTTGTATTGATTGAATTATCAATCATTACTCATATCCCGGAAAGCGTATTCGATGCGTTTTCTATTTTTATCCACCTTTTGGGTTCGTTTAATTACTAAACCTTTTTCCCTAATCTTATTTAAAATTTGTAAATTTCATTAATTCGCAAAATTTTCGAACTTAAATGGACAAGAGATTTAAGAGATAATTTCCTGGAGTTAGCTCAAAACTGGGTTACTGGGTTGTTTCAAATCCTCGCTTGGACCCACCAGAAGCCTTATTTGAACCTAACACTGGGCTAATGTTTAAATATTTAAAATTTACTTGGATCAAACATTTGCTTTCACAACTGACTTACTTCTATTTTAGAAAGAAGATAGCGAATTTAAACTATTCTGGTCAACATTAAACTATTCTAATTGATCATTTGATCAATTTGATTCACTTGTTTTGACTCTTTCACTTTGAGAAACAAAATCGAAACTTCAAATCAAAGTTACAATAAAATGAAGCTGTTCTCCGTTTTATTTCCAATCGTTTTCTTGAGTTTTCTAAGAAACTAAAATCTCATTGTCAGATTTCAAACTTTAGTTATTTTAGGTTAACGCAGAGATGTTCGGTTTGAGATTGCTGGTCATTTTTTTTCTGTTATAATCAATGCACTAAAAACGTAATAGATTAGCAACAAAATTTCATATAAATATGAAATTTCACGTTAATTTCTCCAGTCAATTTCAATTTTTAGTTCAGAAACACAGTTTTACGCTTTTTATAGAAATATGCATGAGAGGTTGATCATCAAAGGCCTAAAAAGGACTTTCGGTTAAGAAAATATTAGATTGGCAACTTGAAAGTTCGTACACTTTTTCGTATTTGCCAGAAAACATATTTAATACGCCAATTGCATTCGATTTCTCGAAATAAAAGTCAACTAAAACTGAGTGGCTCATAGAACGCTTCCATAATTTTTAGATAGAAATCGGTGCTGTTTAGTGTTATAGAAGAAAAATGGTAGAATATTGATTTGCATTAGAATATACAAAACCTCTAGACTTCTAGGAAAAGACCCTTAAATTCCGAGTTTATAAAATTTGAAAGTTTACCTTTTTTAACCGAATTTTCTCTTTCCCTTCTTCAGCAAGTTGCTTATGCATTTGAGGAAGTTCAATTAAAAAACTCTGAAATGAATTTATTATTTTTTTTTTGCGTACACACTGTGAAGCTGATTTTTTTCGTGAAAGGACCGCATGAACATAGGTACCCCCACAAACAGCACATTTCATCTCATGTGTTTTGGTTCGATTCTTCAAAGCACACAAAGCACACAGCACAAAGCACAAAGCACAACACTAAGCAAACGCCATGACCACACCACAAAATCATTCGGTTCTCGGTCGTTTATTTCTATAGGATCTGAAAACTTTAATGCCTTTATAAAACGTTAAAAATCAGAAACAGATACGTATAAATTACGTTAGTAAGTAGAAACTTTTGATTGACTTAGAATTCATATGGCAAAGGCACACGAGTGAATCCAGTGTCTAAATAATAATCACAGTCTTTAAGCGTTGAGTTAAATATATTTTTCTTCAAATATGAAAAGTTATTTGAAAATTCAATTACCTACCTAACAAACTCACTATTGCAATCAGCATATTGTAAATTTTTCAACCTTTGCAAGAATCTAGCCACTTCCGATTGGAGACAGATTGATGAGTTAAAAGTTTTTATCACAAAGCAATCCCAAAAGAAGCACCAATTAGAAAAGCTGCATAAAGAAGACTCCAGAAACAATCTCCTTTCTCTTCCCAGTCGCATTGATGCTTGCGATTTTTTTTATTCAATGAACTTTCTTTCCTCCAACACTTCACACAAAGTGCTTTTCCACAAGGCAATTGACGCGATGATTTTGGGTCATTTGAAAGTTTTCCGTCCATAAATTTGCTTTTGTTATGTTCAAAAATTGAAGCTGAACAAAGACGGACTCACAAAGAGAATGGCAATAAAAACCAGCTGATCGATTGTAAAACTTGTGGCTCTAAAGTCTTTGTATAAAGACTTTAGAGCCACAAGTGAAGAGAGATTGTGTGCATAATGGCAGGCTACCTGCAATCCAAACAAAATCATTCGGCTCTGCTGTTTATTGAAAACAAAAAAAATCGTAAAAAAGTCTTTTCTATCTAGAAAATAGATTGATCCAAATTTATGACAAGAAGGCAAGGAGGTTGCATAAGAAAATTAAGAAATATTGATTGAAATGAGGAAGAAAGATCACAGATAAAAGAGGAAGCGAGGAAGATCACAGAAATTCAAGGAGGAAGCGGTTTTCTGTTATTTCTAAAAATTATTGTGAAAGCTCTTGAAAATTGCGTTTTTTTCATACAAAACTATTTTTTTATCTGAATTATTATTAAAATTATGGGTTTGAATTTTACTAAGCATAAATATAAGAGTTACTACAGGGTGACCAAGAGATCTCAAAGCGCCTGAATGTCCCCAGAAGTTACCACAACACACAAAAGGCCTGGCTTTTAACCAAATATGCAACCCATCTCGAAAAGTTAACTTAAATCTCTTCATTTTTCTGTGCCATTCCTCGAGCCGATTGGTTAGGGTTTAATCTTAGACGATCGCGCACTTTCTTGACATTAGCCGGAGTAATCGCTGTTCGTCTTGCACCTCTTCCAGGGCGATCAGAAACTGTGCCCAGAGTTTCATAACGTTGAATGGTTCGAGAAACGAGGCTTCTGGGGACATTCAGGCGCTTTGAGATCTCGCTTGCTTAAACACGCTGCCGCTTGAGCTCAAGGATCGATTTTCGATGTGGAGACGCTTTCGCCATTCCTGAAAACAACCAGACTAATGTATTGAAAGTTAGTAATCATACCATAAAATACGAAAAATAAAATCTAAAAATCAAAAACCATAAAAACAGGTAAGCAAAAAGTGAAATGGGGCTCATAACATAATACGACGTTGTTGCGGTAATTCTTGGTCACCCTGTAAATCCCAAAAAATAATCAACTTGCACAAAATTTCAGCTTTTTATGAATGTGTGCAGTGCGCGAGAGGGGTACTGATGGGGCAATGGTTATTTAGATATTTTATTCCGAATCTAGCACAATCACTAATCTATTCATTGGTCATTGGTTCAGTGTTTGCAAAGTCAAAGAAAAAGAATACGAAGCGGGTTCCGTCTCTTTAAAGGAAGAACAAGAGAATCAGAGAGATTCAAAATTAGAGTGTGTTCCTCGCGAGTAATGCGTTTTTTAAAACACACACTTGGGAAAAAATTTCCCGTACTTTTAGCAAAAATTATTGCAAAAAAAATGACGCAAAAATGACGAGCCTCGTATTATATACGACACTCTTTAAAGATACTCAGCCGTTTAACTGATTTGGCGGGGAAATTCCCTTCCAATGTAAAAAATGATTCTTTTTTTTTTTCTTGAAAAACCTGCGCAAAAAATTGCTTTATATTTTTTGCGCGCAGGCGTCCTTTTTAGAAAACGCATTACTCGAGTAAAAAAATCCTCCTGCAACTTTACTC